ACTTCCATTGCAAAGATCATTAGTTATTAACTTAGGGGCCGCTTATTTTACTTATGCACTATTTTAACTGAAAACAGAAAACTTTGAATGTGGGCCGACAACAGTGTTTGGTGGAGACTGTGTGTGCTGTATATCCATAAATGCTCTAAATAAAACTAAATATTGTTCACGGAATACAGCGAGAATTACAGTAAAGTAAACAGATTGACCAACCTCAAGTATTTCAGAGAGCCTTAGGGGCCGTTTAAACGACACCAAAAACTTCTTTTGGTCGTTAATTTACACGACAACAGCATTGGGGGCCTAAAAAAACGCAAACTTTTGAAAACGCGTTTCAAAGTGCAAGTTTCTGAAACCGATACTGTTATCGACTCCGTGTACACTACAAAACGCAAATTTGTGAAAACGGTAACGTGTTCAGTCTATAGACGCGTATGTTTCTTTAAAAAGTGACATCGCCATCTACTGGCCTGACAGCAGAATAAAGTGTTTTTAGTTGTTTTCGCAGATCCGTGTGAACAGTGGCCGTTGTCGTCCATACATGAAAAATGCAAAGGAAAAACGTTTAAATTTTTAGTGCATCGTTGTCGTGTAAACGTACCCGTACTGTACATACACACCGCCGCCGACTTGAGCTGCAAAGAAGCTCTGGCCGCCCTGTCGAGGACGCTTGTCCAAAAGTACGGGGAAGCTTGTGGACGCTTTGGCCGCTCTGACGTAGCAGTTCGATCATGGGAGAAGAGAAGTGTGATGAACATGAAATGTAAACAGAAAAAAACAAGCAATACATTGACACTAGAAACCTTTTATAATGACAGCATTTTTATAACCGTTTTGGTCACATTTGGTCGGGGGGAAAAAATAATAACTAGCTATTATTGTTATTATTATTATTTGCATCTGGTGCAAATCGGTGTTACCGTGAGCAAATGAATTGCATTCCCGGTTAAAACAAGCGTCCGTAAATATTTCCAATAAAAGTTGCGCTCATCCTCAAATGTGTATCACTGGATCATTATGGATCATCGTGAAGTTGTTGTGTTTGGTGCCGCTGTATTGTATTTGCGGAGTCGACTAATGTTCTCGGAACTAATGTTTTGGTAGGAACGAAAGTTCACATCGGATGTTTCTCCGCAATCAGCCGGACGTCTATATTCCGATTGGTTGCTGGCGTTTTGCCGCTGAACCGCGTCACAGCTCATTACCATAAAGTTGAGCTACTTTCAACTTTCTGATTGACGCTCAAGACGCTCAAAACGCGCCGCCGATGGATGTGACGCTCCTTGCAGCGGAGAGAAGCCAGCTTCCACTGAAAATGAATGACTTCCGGTAACTTTGGAAGCTCAAGTCATCGGCGGCGTGCACGCACAGTTAAGCCCCGTACACACCGGGACGAATATCGGCGCGCGTTATTCGCCAGCGTTTTTCAACGCGTTTTTTGTGTTCACACCCAAGCGATTTACGCTGACGATGAGCCGAGTGAACATGCAAATTCATTCCCTGAATCCCTGACATTAGATGCCGCTTAATGTAAAACAGAAATAGTCCTATTGTGTAGTCGCTGTCGCGTTTGTCATATAGTTCTTTATGTTCCGACACCAACGAGACCAGCGGCTCTACATTCATCTTGCCTCGCATCTTTCTCGTCTTATTTCTTCCCGGCAGTGTAGACCATAGACAGTATAAGAAGTGGACAGAGCCATCTCATTGGAACTCAGTTGAGACAGTTGAAGCCCACTTTTAGCGATTTTTGAGCACTTCCGTTCCTGACGCGCAGACTCAAACCGACTCAAACTAAGCTTGATGACGTGAGCAATCTGTCTGACAGACGTTAATCTTCTAGTAGCTGTGCGTAAAAATTGCCAACGTTAATCTTGCAGAGACGGGGAACTTGAGCAAAGAGTTCTTTGGCGTGAGTGAGCAGGAGTAAGTATTCCGTTGCTTTTATGGACTCATTATCTATGGGCTTCTCCCTTGACGGGACGTCCCCCCGATCACCTGCGAGCTTCTCCTCCTGTCTGTACGGTCATTTCTGTACAGCGCGACAGAGAGTCGAGTGGTTATGACGCAATCGTTAGCCTATTTTTACTAAATCTGTTTCTACGGGGCCATAATGTAACATAGAAGGTAATGGAGCCCTTTATACATTGTCGTGTTTCTTTAGAAATAAATAATGTCTTTAAACGCATCAGATGTAAAGTTGTTCGCTGTCAAAGTGACGCCAAAATGAATGGGAGTCAATGGAAATGCTAACGCAAGTGAAGTTCTGCTACAAGATGGCGGCACCCGGCCGGCTTCAACTTCCGGTCGATGGATTACCCCCTTGGTGTAGACGCTGGCGCATCTTCTTCGCCGTTACATGTGTGTGCTCAGCAAGACCGTTTTGTGTTTGAGCGCCCCCAAGTTGTGTTTTACTGTAACTTCAGAAGCTCCAGACACGTGAGCAAAAGCGCCAATCTCATTGGTCGGATAGTTTTTGACGCGGTGCATCAAACCAAAAAAATGAACCCGAGGCGTTTTTAAAAAAATGACGCTTTTACGCGTGGCGTTTTTCGCGTCGGTGTGCACACTCACATTGGCGCCCTTTGTTTAGTCACGAGGCGTTAAACGTCGGTCCCGGTGTGAACAGGCCTTTAGAATAAAGTGAATTTGTTAACGCTACACTATGTAGCCTTTGGCCCTCTAGTGGTTGAAGCATAAAACTACACGTGATTTGCAGAGGAACATTGTTTTGGTCATTTCACGCTTCGCGCCGCTGTGCTCATGGTTACAGATGATCGCATTATCACTGCTAATGTCACTAACATCATCAAAACTCTGCCAATAACAAAAAAACAGATGTCTTATGTGCAGGTAAGCAGCTTATATGCTGTTGTTGTTTGTTGAAATCAATTGTCAACACTGACATTAGACATAACGATTGCAATTCATATCAGATAATAGTGAAAAATATAGTTTGGCAAGGGGATTTACAGGCAAATAAACCAAAGTAGGCCTAGTAACTTGCCATTCTTACTAACATTAACATTGTTTTTTGATCATACCGTATTTTCCGGACTATAAGTCGCACTTTTTTTCATAGTTTGGCTGGTCCTGCGACTTATAGTCAGGTGCGACTTATATATCAAAATGAATTCGGACTGAGATGAACCAAGAGAAAGCATTATCGTCTCAAGCCGCGAGACGCTCTAGTTGGCGGAGTTGTTCATCAGCGACACCGAGGATGAAGAACTCAATGGATTCAGTGATGAGGAATGAGATCGAGAGCTTGGTGAACTTGCTTGTTGGACTCGCTGGCTTATGTTAATTTAGCCTATTCAGCCTCTCAGGTATATGTTCTTTATGCTATTGTGTAGTTGAATAAGTGTTAATGTGTTACGTTAACATACCGGACACCTATTCAGCCTGTTCTGTGTGTTATTGTGAAGCTGAATAACTGTTAATGTGTTATGTTAACATACCAGACACTTATTCAGCCTGTTGTTCTGTGTGCTATTGTGTAGTTGAATAACTTGCCTTTTCAGATTAAATGTCTGTTCTTGGTCTTGGATTTTGTGAAATAAATTTCTAAATAAATGCAACTTATATATGTTTTTTTTCCTCTTCATGACGCATATTTGACTTATCAAGTTTCAAGTTTGTATTTATTTATATAGCACATTTAAAAACAGCAAACAGGGCTGACCAAAGTGCTGAACAATAGACAAGATAAATAACAAGGACAAACCACACATTCATGACAAAATATCAGAATACAATCACAAGACTTATACTCCGGAGCGACGTAAAGTCCGGAAAATACGGTAGTCAATGCACAGCAAATGTGATGTGATGCAGAGATTATGTTGATTCATGTTTTATTACAGATACTCTTTTGATTGTTGTGGCTTCAAGCTACTTTAGCTGCATATATCCGCTGCATATTTTGTTGGTTGTACGACATGAAATAGGCTACGTCTGGATTCCCAAAGGTGTATTGATTCAGCTGTCTTTGGGTTCTCCTACAGGTGTCTAGACGAGCAGGAAAAGCCAGGGCGAGTGCTCGGATCCGGGATTTATCCACTCCCAAAGCCCTCTCTAAAGATTACATCCCACCCAGAGAACCAACATGGCAGGCCTGAGAAAACAACAGAAAGACAAACCGCAGCGCTGTGCGTTCCAGTGCGTTTATCATCTGAAGTTATTGTGTGTCTTTCTCTCAGCATCTTCCTCTTTTCTCTCAGGAGTTTGGTGATCGGTCTCTTGTTCTTCTGGTTTTCTAATCACAGTCTCAGATGTAGTCTCTGGACTCTCTTTGACTGAAATGAAAGTACTGTATTATTCCAGACATGCCTGGCTTCTCAAACTGGACTGTGTTTTACATCTGTAGTGTTTCCAGACCACTTTCTGCCCAGACATCGCTTTCAGTGCGAAAACACTGAGACAATCTGACATTATCAGCGTCTGGTTGGTAGATCGGTGTAAGTGCTGTTGCCTGGACTTTCATTCTACACGGTTTACTGTAATATAACACGTAATCATTTTATATAATAACAATTATGTATATTATACACACATTACTGGTCAAACGTTTCGGGTCAGTAGGACTTTTTTAAGGAAATACTTTTATTCAGCAAGAACACATTGCGATTAATTGCATCTAACATAAAAGTTTGCTCTCAAATCAATCATGATTAACACACACATATATATATATATATATATTAAAAAACTTGTTAGATGTGATTAATCGATTTGACAGCACACACACACACACACACATTATGTGTGAAACATTGTTTTCCTCCTGTGGGTTTAATATGAAGTGCATTGGTTTTGTTGTATTTACTGTTAATAACCAATAAATGCTCAATTAAAAAAATAATTAATCTCCATATATATACAGATTTCAAGTTACCAGGGATTATGCTCCTTTGTGTTTGTTTAATTGAATAATTGAAAAGTGGTTCACTATCCAGTTCACTGTACACTATCCAGTTGATCTCGCCAGTTTACCTCAG